GAGGAGATAATAGCTGAAAACTTCCCTAAAATGGGGAAGGAAATAGCCACCCAAGTCCAAGAAACCCAGAGAGTCCCAAACAGGATAAACCCAAGGCGAAACACCCCAAGACACATATTAATCAAATTAACAAAGATCAAACACAAAGAATAAATATTAAAAGCAGCAAGGGAGAAACAACAAATAACACACAAAGGGATTCCCATAAGGATAACAGCTGATCTATCAATAGAAACCCTTCAGGCCAGAAGGGAATGGCAGGACATACTTAAAGTAATGAAAGAGAATAACCTACAACCTAGATTACTCTACCCAGCAAGGATCTCATTCAGATATGAAGGAGAACTCAAAAGCTTTACAGACAAGCAAAAGCTGAGAGAATTCAGCACCACCAAACCAGCTCTTCAACAAATATTAAAGGATCTTCTCTAGACAGGAAACACAGAAAGGTGGTATAAACGTGAACCCCAAACAACAAAATAAATGGCAACGGGACCATACCTATCAATAATTACCTTAAATGTAAATGGGATGAATGCCCCAACCAAAAGACAAAGGCTGGCTGAATGGATAAAAAAGCAAGACCCCTATATATGCTGTCTCCAAGAGACCCACCTCAAAGCAAGGGACACATACAGACTAAAAGTGAAGGGCTGGAAAAAAATATTCCACGCAAACGGAGACCAAAAGAAAGCAGGAGTCGCAATACTCATATCAGATAAAATAGACTTTCAAATAAAGACTGTGAAAAGAGACAAAGATGGACACTACATAATGATCAAAGGATCAATCCAAGAAGAAGATATAACAATTATAAATATATATGCACCCAACATAGGAGCACCGCAATATGTAAGGCAAACACTAACGAGTATGAAAGAGGAAATTAATAGAAACACAATAATAGTAGGAGACTTTAATACCCCACTCACAACTATGGATAGATCAACTAAACAGAAAATGAACAAGGAAGCACAAACTTTAAAGGACACAATGGACCAGCTAGACCTAATTGACATCTATAGGACGTTTCACCCCAAAACAATCAACTTCACCTTTTTCTCAAGTGCACACGGAACCTTTTCCAGAATAGATCACATCCTGGGCCATAAATCTAGTCTTGGTAAATTCAAAAAGATTGAAATCATCCCAGTCATCTTTTCTGACCACAGTGCAGTAAGATTAGATCTTAATTACAGGAAAAAAATTATTAAAAAATTCAAACATATGCAGGCTAAACAACACGCTTCTGAATAACCAACAAATCATAGAAGAAATCAAAAAAGAAATCAAAATATGCATAGAAATGAATGAAAATGAAAACACAACAACCCAAAACCTATGGGACACTGTAAAGGCAGTGCTAAGGGGAAGATTCATAGCATTACAGGCCTACCTCAAGAAACAAGAAAAAAGTCAAATAAATAACCTAACTCTACACCTAAAGCAACTAGAGGAGGAAGAAATGAAGAACCCCAGGGTTAGTAGAAGGAAAGAAATCTTAAAAATCAGGGCAGAAATAAATGCAAAAGAAACTAAAGAGAGCATAGCAAAAATTAACAAAGCTAAAAGCTTGTTTTTTGAAAAAATAAACAAAATTGACAAACCATTAGCAAGACTCATTAAGAAACAAAGGGAGAAGAACCAAATTAACAAAATTAGAAACGAAAATGGAGAGATCACAACAGACAACACTGAAATACAAAGGATCATAAGAGACTACTACCAGCAGCTCTATGCCAATAAAATGGACAACTTGGAAGAAATGGACAAGTTCTTAGAGAAGTATAACTTTCCAAAACTGAACCAGGAAGAAATAGAAGATCTTAACAAAACCATCACAAGCAAGGAAATCGAAACTGTAATCAGAAATCTTCCAGCAAACAAAAGCCCAGGACCAGATGGCTTCACAGCTGAATTCTACCAAAAATTTAGAGAAGAGCTAACACCTATCTTACTCAAACTCTTCCAGAAAATTGCAGAAGAAGGTAAACTTCCAAACTCATTCTATGAGGCCACCATCACCCTAATTCCAAAACCAGACAAAGATGCCACAAAAAAAGAAAACTACAGGCCAGTATCACTGATGAACATAGATGCAAAAATCCTTAACAAAATTCTAGCAAACAGAATCCAACAACATATTAAAAAAATCATACATCATGACCAAGTGGGCTTTATCCCAGGAATGCAAGGATTCTTTAATATCCGCAAATCAATCAATGTAATACACCACATTAACAAATTGAAAGATAAAAACCATATGATTATCTCAATAGATGCAGAAAAAGCCTTTGATAAAATTCAACATCCATTTATGATTAAAACTCTCCAGAAAGCAGGAATAGAAGGAACATACCTCAACATAATAAAAGCTATATATGACAAACCCACAGCAAGCATCACCCTCAATGGTGAAAAACTGAAAGCATTTCCCCTGAAATCAGGAACAAGACAAGGGTGCCCACTCTCACCACTACTATTCAACATAGTTTTGGAAGTTTTGGCCACAGCAATCAGAGCAGAAAAAGAAGTAAAAGGAATCCAGATAGGAAAAGAAGAAGTGAAACTCTCGCTGTTTGCAGATGACATGATCCTCTACATTGCAAATCCTAAAGACTCTACCAGAAAATTACTAGAGATAATCAACGAATACAGTAAAGTTGCAGGATATAAAATTAACACACAGAAATCTCTTGCATTCCTATACACTAACAATGAGAAAACAGAAAGAGAAATTAAGGAAACAATACCATTCACCATTGCAACAAAAAGAATAAAATACTTAGGAGTATATCTACCTAAAGAAACAAAAGACCTATACATAGAAAACTATAAAACACTGATGAAAGAAATCAAAGAGGACACAAACAGATGGAGAAATATACCGTGTTCATGGATTGGAAGAATCAATATTGTCAAAATGGCTATACTACCCAAAGCAATCTACAGATTCAATGCAATCCGTATCAAACTACCAACGGTATTTTTCACAGAACTAGAACGAATAATTTCACAATTTGTATGGAAATACAAAAAACCTCGAATAGCCAAAGTAATCCTGAGAAAGAAGAATGGAACTGGAGGAATCAATCTGCCTGACTTCAGACTATACTACAAAGCCACAGTCATCAAGACAGTGTGGTACTGGCACAAAGACAGAAATATAGATCAATGGAACAGAATAGAAAGCCCAGAGATAAATCCACAAACCTATGGTCACCTTATCTTTGACAAAGGAGGCAAGGATATACAATGGAAAAAAGACAACCTCTTTAACAAGTGGTGCTGGGAAAACTGGTCAACCACCTGTAAAAGAATGAAACTAGAACACTTTCTAACACCATACACAAAAATAAACTCAAGATGGATTAAAGATCTAAATGTAAGACCAGAAACTATAAAACTCCTAGAGGAGAACATAGGCAAAACACTCTCCGACATAAATCACAGCAGGATCCTCTATGACCCACATCCCAGAAGTTTAGAAATAAAAGCAAAAATAAACAAATGGGACCTAATGAAACTTAAAAGCTTTTGCACAACAAAGGAAACTATAAGCAAGGTGAAAAGACAGCCCTCAGATTGGGAGAAAATAATAGCAAACGAAGCAACAGACAAAGGATTAATCTCAAAAATATACAAGCAACTCCTCCAGCTCAACTCCAGAAAAATAAATGACCCAATCAAAAAATGGGCCAAAGAACTAAACAGACATTTCTCCAAGGAAGACATACAGATGGCTAACAAACACATGAAAAGATGCTCAACATCACTCATTATCAGAGAAATGCAAATCAAAACCACAATGAGGTACCATTACACACCAGTCAGGATGGCTGCTATCCAAAAGTCTGCAAGCAATAAATGCTGGAGAGGGTGTGGAGAAAAGGGAACCCTCTTACACTGTTGGTGGGAATGCAAATTAGTACAGCCACTATGGAAAACAGTGTGGAGATTTCTTAAAAAGCTGGAAATAGAACTGACATATGACCCAGCAATCCCACTTCTGGGCATACACAATGAGGAAACCAGATCTGAAAGAGACACGTGTACCCCAATGTTCATCGCAGCACTGTTTATAATAGCCAGGACATGGAAGCAACCTAGATGCCCATCAGCAGACGAATGGATGAGGAAGCTGTGGTACATATACACCATGGAATATTACTCAGCCATTAAAAAGAATTCATTTGAATCAGTTCTAATGAGATGGATGAAACTGGAGCCCATTATACAGAGCGAAGTAAGCCAGAAAGATAAAGACCATTACAGTATACTAACACATATATATGGAATTTAGAAAGATGGTAACGATAACCCTATGTGCAAAACAGAAAAAGAGACTCCTATGTATAGAACAGACTTGTGGACTCTGGGAGAAGGCGAGGGTGGGATGTTTAAAGAGAACAGCATTGAAACACGTATATTATCTAGGGTGAAACAGTTCACCAGCCCAGGTTGGGTGCATGAGACAAGTGCTCGGGCCTGGTGCACTGGGAAGACCCAGAGGGATTGGGTGGAGAGGGAGGTGGGAGGGGGGACCGGGATGGGGAATACATGTAAAAAAAAAAAAAAAAAAAAGATACACTATGGTTGTGATAAAAATAAATAAATTAATTAAAAAAAAATAAATAAAAAGAAGGCGGATGTGTATGTAATGAAGTCCAAAACACGTAACTTTTTTAGTTGTTTTTGGCTTTTTTGTTTGTTTGCTTGTTTGCTTTGGCCATGCTGTGTGGCTCGTGGAATCCTAGTGCCCTGTCCAATCAGGGATTGAATCTGGGCCATAGCACTGAAAGTACTGAGTCCTAACCACTGAACCACCAAGGAATTCTCTACTTTTAACTTTATATTATTTCCACTTTGTATCACTTTTATCCTTGTCTCAGTTTATCCTAACTTGGACATCATACTCTTGAGCAGAGTCAAATATTTTTCTATTATCTTACATACTGAGAGGTTATAATTTTTGCAAAAAAAAAAAAAAAAAGACTTACACTGGGCACTGCACTGCTCCTGGATTATCAATGGATACAGTCAAAATTCCTCCATTTGTGGTGGAAGTTCGCCACCTAGTTTCAAAAAACCAAAAATTTCATTAAAATGAAAGGTTTATAAATACTACTGTGTATTCTACATAAAACATACATTTTAAAGTAGCTATTACTTTTTCTAAGTTTTCAGAAATTATAGATACCTGGGCCCCAACATGATATAATTAATCAGCATATTGGTTATAAGAACTGGACACTTGAATTTATAAATATTTTTCTGTGTAACAGATATATGCACATTAAAAAATCAAATAATCCAGAAAAGCTTCTAATAAAAAGCAACAATCCTTTACTCCACTGTTCTCCCTTCCTGCTCCCCAGAAGCAGCACTTTTAACTTTTCCTGATTTTCTGCTTGTTACCTCCAGAGTTCACTAAACAAGATACTTAGGTAAGCAAGTATCTTGCTATGATAAGGATTCAGCTCATCACACTATCCTCTGGTTTCTCTTCCTACTTTGAAACATTTTGATGGCTGTATCACTATTTTACTTTCATTAATTTTAACACTTGAATTTCTTTTTCCAGTAGTATCTCTTGACATTTTCCCCTACCCCCTTTGTAAGAAAGGACAATAGTATTTCTAATTCCTTCCCTCCACCTCTTCATCTACGTTGTACCACCCATTTTCTATCAGCTTTACTTTTGTATTTATGTAGGTCAAAATCTGACATTTACATTACACTGTTACCAAATTAAGTATCTTGTGCTTTTTTTCTATAAGTTGATCCTCAAACTCCAGTGCAACAGAATACTATCAGCATGAAGTTCAAATAGTTGCCATTCTTATACTCCAACTGCTCAAAATCATGCCTATTCTAGATGGCATCATATCTGAACCATGATCATGTGATATATGCTTTGTTTTCTAAGAAGTAGCCATAATTTCAAATGATTTAAACTCTGGTCATACTGATGGAATGTTACAACTCACACTTGCAGTGCAATTCTAAGAGACAAAAATATATTCTTAAAATACCTTCATGGGGTAAGGAGAAAAAAAGCAGTATGTAAAAAGAAAACACTGTATTGTTTTTAAAAATTTATAAATATTCTAAAAGCTCTACTGGATTTTCTTCTACTTATTCCATGAACTGGTTCATTTGTATAAAGCAATTATAAAAAAATAAAGAGCTATTTCTTAAAATGGACTAAACAGGAAAAAAAATACAGAGTAATGCATTTGCTGCTAAAATGTGTAACACTGCCATGTGAAAATGCCAAATGTTTTGGGGGGAAAATCAACAAAAACAAAACAGGATTTACTTATTTCAGGCTCAATGGTTAATTCACTCTGGGTCTCCTTTAATTTCTTTTAAAACTGACGCACAAAGTAATTTAGGTCACTACTATTCTGGGAGTTTTGAAATGACATCTTGAAAAACAAATTGAAACTTACTGACGAGTTCTCTTTGCTACTACATCGTCTAGCAGTTGTTCTGAGTTCAACTGGGCCTGAACCTGAAGGGGAAAAAAAAAGCAGTAGATCCCACAGAAAGCAGAGGATTTGAATCCAAAGAGCTGTCCTGTTCTGTAACTTTATAACCCTGTGTGGTAGGTTTGAATGCAGGAGAGGAGCATGTGCCTATTCTGATAACACCTCTTTCTTGGGGTTTCTGTATCAGAATAAGTAGTAAAAACAAATTTATTCCTAAATAACATGTTAAATTCTTATAAGACACTGCCATTGATGACAACAAAAGAGAAAAGAGGGGAAAAAAAATTAACCTAATGTCATGTTCTCCATATCCTAAACCCAAACCCTACCTTGATCATGGGTCATGTCTATAATTGATGATTACTAAAGGTGGATGTTCAGGATCCTTTGTGTAAAAAGAAAACACTGTCAAGGGTTTTTTATACCTTCAGGCCTCTTCTGAAAAGAAAAGTTGCCTGTCGAGTGTCTTTCTGATGACTTAATTTATTTCCACTCCTGGTAAAATTATTTGGAATGTTATTTCTGCAACAACAACAAAAAAACACATGTACCATGAAAAGTCTGGGCCACTTAACAACTCTGAAACATTTTGAAAAAATAAGCAAAAATAGTTAAATTCACAGGCTAAAAATCTGAGGTATACTAAACACAAAGATTCAATTATATTGTTTACATGAAGCTATTGAGATCTGATTTACAGATATCATATAACAATCTGGTTAATTTTGGAGCTAATTTATCTTACAAATATTCAACTGTCTAAAAGAATTAGTACAAAGAAAATCACACCTAGGTACATCACTGTCAAACTGTTAAAAACCAACAATCAAGAGAAAATATTGAAATATAACCTATTCTCCAAATTTCTCTCCTTCACTCATATACATTGCTCTCCTTCACTCAGAATACATATTAATATAAATAACACAAAAACTCATACTGTTCCACTGTTTGCTCTCTCCTGCATAGAATATTGTAACCTTAATTATGTTTGACTTTACTTTCACCAATTTCTTTCTAATTTCTATAGAAAGTTGGTAAAAGACAAATTTTCACACTTATCTCCTTATTTCTATACAACATGTCACCTCATCTTACCTCCAACCTTATACAGGTTCAAATGCATAATTTCCCTAGCCATTTCAATTAACAAGGGCTCATTAATGGCTCAGGTAATTGACAAATTCTTGAAAAGTTCCTCTTTTCCAAAAAAAAAAAAAGTACTCCCAATTGATTCCCAAAACACAGAGATCATAGTTGAGTGAAGTTACAAATATAGCCATTCCACATACACAAAAACTTCATTTTTTTTTTTGCTTTGAAATCTTCTATAAGAGATGAATAAATAGTATTTGTAACTGAAATAATAAAACTTCACAGCTTGTCAATTTCTACTTTATCCTTACTGAGAACAGAGTACCATAATCAGTTCAGTTCAGTTCAGTCACTCAGTCATGTCTAACTCTTTGCGACTCTTTGGACTGCGGCACACCAGGCTTCCGTATCCATCACCAACTCCCGGAGTTTACTCAAAATCATGTCCATCAAGTCGGTGATGCCATCCAATCATCTCATCCTCTGACGATCCCTTCTCCTCCTGCCTTCAACCGTTCCCAGCATCAGGGTCTTTTCAAATGAATCAGTTCTTCACATCAGGTGGCCAAAATACTAGAGCTTCCTCTTCAGCATCATTCCTTCCAATGAATATTCAGGACTGATTTCCTTTAGGATGGACTGGTTGGATCTCCTTGCAGTCCAAGGGACTCTCAAGAGTCTTCTCCAACACCATAGTTCAAAAGCATCAATTCTTTGGCACTCAGCTTTCTTTACAGTCCAACTCACATCCATACATGACTACTGGAAAAACCATAGCTTTGACAAGACAGAACTTTGTTGGCAAAGTAATGTCTCTGCTTTTTAATATGCTGTCTAGGTTGGTCATAACTTTTCTTCCAAGGAGCAAGCGTCTTTTAATTTCACAGCTGCAGTCACCACCTGCAGGGATTTTTGAGCCCCCCCAAAATAAAGTCTGTCACTGTTTCCATTGTTTCCTCGTCTATTTGCCATGAAGTGATGGAACCAGATGCCATGATCTTAGTTTTCTGAATGTTGCGTTTTAAGGCAACTTTTTCACTCTCCTCTTTCACTTTCATTAGGAGGCTCTCTAGTTCTTTGCTTTCTGCCATAAGGGTGGTGTCATCTGCATATCTGAGATTATGAATATTTCTCCCAGCAACCTTGATTCCAGCTTGTGCTTCATCCAGCCTGGCATTTTGCATGATGTACTCTGCATATAAGTTAAATAAGCAGGGTGACAATATACAGCCTTGACGTACTCCTTTTCCTATTTGGAACCAGTCTGTTGTTCCATGTCCAGTTCTAACTGCTGCTTCTTGACCTGCATACAGATTTCTCAGGAGGCAGGTCACGTGGTCTGGTATTCCCATCTATTTAAGAATTTTCCATAGTTTGTTGTGATCCACACAAAGGCTTTGGCATAGTCAATAAAGCAGAAGTACCATAATAACAGGTCACATTTTAAACAATTGTCTTTTAAACATTTTAAATATCCTTAATTGGTAAAATACTTGTAAAGTTTACACTTTGGCCAGTTCGGTGGCATTCAGTGCATTCACGTGGTTGTACCATCTTTAGAAACGTTCACCTTCACAGACTAAACCTGTTCCCCTTCAACTCACTGCCCATCTCCGCCCAGCCCCTGGCTCCTACCCCTCTGCTGCCCGTCTCTGTGAATCTGATTGCTCTGGGGACCTCACAGGAGTGGAATCACAGGACATACCCTTTTTAATTTAATATCAAAATAATTTCAGCTAGGGACTTCCCTGGTGGTCCAGTGGTTGAGAATCCACCTTTCAATGCAGGGGACACAGGTTCAATCCCTGATCAGGGAACTAAGATCCACATACTCCAGGGTAAGTAAGCCTCTGCACCACAACTGCTGAACCCACATGCCACAACTAGAGAGAAGCCCATGCACCACAATCAATGAATGATCCTGCATACCACAACTAAGACTGTACAGAGACCAATAAATTATTTATTTATTTATTTACTTTTCACTTATTTTTATTAGTTGGAGGCTAATTACTTTACAATATTGTAGTGGTTTTTGCCACACATTGACATGAATCAGCCATGGATTTACATGTGAAATAATTTAAGCTTAAGAAGTATTCATGAAAAATCCTTTCAGATTTGCTTTTCCCACAAATAACATACACTATTCTATTAAGAGCCACTGAGAGTATATAACAAATTCAGTTTTCAGAATTTTGAGTAATTCTGGCTGAGGTGTTTTTACCAAAACAATCACCTTTTGCAGTTTTTTTCTATATGTCAAGGGAAACAGAGTGATGCTTTTCTTAAGAAGTCTATAATTAGTTAAATTCATCAACAACACTGGTTCTAAGAAATAAGGAAGCTGTAACTAAATGCTTCCATACTGAGTGTTCAAACAGACATCCCACGTCTTGAAAATGACCAGACAATTACAACATCATTGCAAATTCATTGCTTTGAACTCTCAGTATAAGAAGTCCATCTTTATGAAGGATAATAGAATACTGTCTTATATTTGAGTACTTACTTTCTATTTAACTGGTTAGGTCTCTTGAGAGCTGCAACTGGTTTTCTCTGTACTTCATTTTGTCTCAGAAGGTTTGCCTTCCTTTTTAATGCTGGAAAATATCGTTCTATATTCTTTTAGAAAGCAAGAAACTATGTTAATTAGATTGCTTCATGCTCTATAACCTACTATATAAACATTTCTGAAGCAGAATGGAAAGGGACTGACCACTACTTAGATGTACAGATTAGAGAGACAGAGAAGCTAAAACAATTTGAATACTTCCAGTCTAAGTGACCAAAAAGATAACCACATTATACTTAAAATACTTGCAACAAAAGAAGAATTCAAACAGAAGAAAGAATTTTTTCTATTTTGGTATGTTCAGTTTGAGATACTCTGAGGGATACACAGGTGATAAGGAAACATGGCTTTGGAGATCAAGAGAAGAATCAGAGAGCCTGAAATGAAAATTTGGGAATCCTTTATTTAAATATGATTTTGATGTCAAGTGAAGGTATAAGAGAGCCAAGTTTCTGATGCAGTTGTGGCACCATAGTGCTGGCCAAGCAATCCCTGATGGTTTCCGTGACCTAGACTGGACTAAAGTTGACCTTTAGAGGTCAGAGGAGAAGTAGAAGAAATATGTTATCTCTCCTTTGTCTTTTGCTCTCTTAGAGGGTCCTAAGCAGTGTGGTTTGTGCTTCTATGATTCTACTGTTTTTAGTGAATTTGTGTTTTAAGCTTTGTTTGGTGTCTATTCATTTCTATGAGGTGTCTAAAGACTTTTGTGGGAACAAAATGTATTACAGTGCGCCCACAATCACTGTTTCCCTCCAGCATTTAGAGTCACTCTTCCTTTTAATTAGCTCCCTCCCAGGACCTCTGCAAACAGTCACTTGTTAGGGCATCCACCAAGTTTAAAAGACTGGTTAATTTCCAGACATGTCTCAGACTCAGCAGTGGCATAACTTGAGCTGTTTCACAAGAGGCTCTTAGATGCCTTGCAAATAGTTCTCTCAAATCTATCTTAACTAAAGACTTAATTCCTGCAGTGGGCACAGCCTAAACTCAATTGAGAATTCCATTATATAAAGAATTTGACAAGTTACAAAATGTTTAGAGCAGCTCTGTTTCTTGAGGGCATTCAACAAATATCTATCAGGTATCTACAGTGGGACAGGTATAATATTAGTCAGATATACAAAGGTATCTAAGTTATAGTCCTCATCTTCAAGTAATCCAGTCTAACAGACAGATGCATATTAATGGGTAACTATAATATACTGTGGTAAGTTATGTAATAGAATGATATGTGAAGTACAGTGATAACATTATAACACAGAGAGATTTGCATATGCACAAAGAGAAAGAGATATGAAAGAGGAAACTATGACTTTAGATTCTTGGAATGTCGAGGTATGTTTATGGCGGAGAAGAGGGGGTGAAGGTAACAGTGTGGAGTGCAGGTTTAAACGTGGACATAGGCCAAATACAAATACTGCATATACTACCTTCCATGCTAAATAAAATCAACAATTTAGAATCCTTGAAAGATTTAAAACATATTATGTGATGTAAATCAGAGAAAGACAAATATATGGTATCATTTATATGTGGAATATAAAAAAATGATATAAATGAACTTATTTAAAAAACAGAAATGGACTCACAAACATAGAAAACAAACTTCTGGTTATCAAATGCATAGCAAGTAAGGGGAAGAGAGATAAACGAAGAGTTTGGGATTAATATATACATCCTACGATATATAAAAAAGATAAGAAACAAGGATCTACTGTATGGCACAGGGAATTATAGTCGATATCTTGTAATAACCGATAATGAAAAATAATCTGAAAACATATACCTGAATCACTTGCTACACCTGAAATTAATACATTATAAATTAACTATATGTCAATACAAATAGTTTAAAAAAAAAGAGAGCTAATTTCCAAAACAAATGTGTGGGAAGGAAAAAAGGGAGGTTGTAATAGCAAAGAAACCTGAATAGAAAAACATAAATTTAAAAAATTCAATGTCATAGAAGATTAGCACATGAAATGTCCACTTTTTCTCTCTCCACAAAAATTCACTCCATCATTAAAGCGTAATTCAGGTTTCCATATTTTCAACGAAGGCTTTTCAAAAGTCTTTGACAATATGAACTGTATCTTTTACTTAATCTAGATTCCCTTGTATTTTAAAAATATGAGCAGTATCCCAAAGATACAGATTAAAAAACACAAAAATTACAATAGTCTTCATTTTCATGAACATTTAGAAAAGAAGTAAATGTAAAAGCAGGAATAAAGAATATCAACCACACAGAAGAAATGCTATGAAATTAGACCAATGATAGCCCATTCTGAGCTTAATATTTTGTCTTTAATAAAAACACCAACGACCATTTTATAGGTAAATGTAAAAGTTCCTTCTATAATGTTACTGTCACATGTAATTTTCCTTCAAAATACCTGCCATATTATAATCATTTAGTTATTTGTGTGATAAATTATTTAATATTTATTTGAGTTCTCCATGAGGACAGGGATTTTCTATTGTTAATACAGAATCTCTAGCATCTAGGACATACTGAGTATTCAGTCAACATGAATTAAATGATGAATACATGGTCAAGAACTGTCAACAGTCCATTAATGTATTGGGAATTTGTGTTCATGAGTCTAAGGTTTGTATATGTGTACAAAAGTGTTTACAAAGAATATCTAGCAGTAGGTTTTCCCTACAAGATTTTGATAAAAAAATTATTCCTTGAGGGAAAGAAATTAAGATATTTAGTCTATCTGAATGTTGTTCTATTAAAGTAGTATTTTATTACTTAAGTATTAAAGTAATAAAATTTTAAGTGTACAGTTTGATGAATTTGGGTAAGTACATGTAATCAAGTAACCACATCATAACCAAGATATAAAACAGTACCCTAACCCTTAAATGTTTCCTAATGCCCCCTGCAATTTCCTTCCCTCACATGACTCTAACCTCAGGCAGTGACTGATCTGTCACTATAGTTAGTTCAGCCTTTTATACAATTTTAAAGGAACAGGATCATAGTACATAATATTTTGTGTTTGACTTCTTCTGCTCAGCATGATATTTTGAGATGTATCCACACTGTCTTTGCACATTAACATTTATTCCTATTTTACTGCTGAATTCCACAGTATGAAGATAAGGTATTTATAAACTATCAAAATCAGACAAATGATCAAAACTACCCATTAGCAGAAAGTAACTGATATTTATGCAGTTATTTTTTTATGTTTACAGAAGTACTAAATAGTTTAGTACTATTACTCCAGTTAAAAGTTCTATAAAACATAACATACCCTCAGTTTTAGGAAACTGTGAATCTAAAAGGAAAATTTTATAGAACTGACACTGACAAGGTAATATATTCCAGTCAAAAAATTCCTTAAGAACTTTCACTTGGCAGGTACTTTAAGCTTTCTCTAAACAAAAGAAAAAAATTCATTCTTAGAGATGATCATTCCCTCCTAGCACAGTCATTTGCTCTCTTAGTAAATACTAGTAATATAAATGAGTATGCTATCTTTCCCACTTAGTAATTCACTTCATCTGTAAGAAAATGTACATTTTTATTGAAATAAAATCTTACTATTTCATATAAACTGTGGAAAGGAAGAGATAAAGTAACAAAATGCCTAATTATGGTCAGGACTTTTTTTTAAGGTATAAAATTTCTAAGTATATTAAAGTATTGGGGTAATTCATTTAATGAATATAAAAGGATGGTGTAAGTTATTTATACATAAAAAGAAATTTCATAAATTGCTAGAAAATGATCTGCTTTACAAGTACCATGTCATTCCTGTTCAGATATTATTCAGATATTAATCTATATTCAGGTTGAGAAAAAGATACTTAAGAAACAGGAAATTTCAAACCATACCTTTTCCAAAATCTTTCAGTCTTTGAATAAAAACATCTTACCATTCAGTACATTATTCTATAATTTATAGAGCTTATAAGTATCCTATAATTTAACACCTTCAATTTTCACTATTTTTAAACAACTCCAAAGACTATACCACATGTTGTAATCTAAAATTTTTACTGGAGCAAGTTCTGTGATAAAGTTTTGTTTGTTTGTTTGTTTGTTTTTTTAGCCCCACCCTTACCCTGTGATAAAGTTTTAGAGATAGCTGTTGGTGATAGCAGAACTGAAAAGTTAAGGTGTAAAGAGAGTTGTGGTTAACCAGAATACACATTCTTAAGATATTTTAAGAAATGATTCATGTCCTGAATTTTTAAATTAAAATATGTATTACTTTCATAATCAGAGAAACCAAACAGGTTAAAAAATAGAAGAGTAGAACATTAAATTCCTTAGTGGCTCAGACTTACTAAGCATAAGAAATTAAAGAAAAACCATGTGTGAAACTATTTTAAGTAATGCTTTATTTGGCCAATTCGAAATTTACTCCATTGAGATGTAAATAAAAAGCCAATTAAGATTTGAAAAGTAGTTAATTTACAGTGGGTAAATAATTACAACTCTAATTAAAAACATAAACTAGAGGAAAACAGTTATCCACCCAAGAGAAATGAAAACCTGTGTCCCTACAGACTTACAGGGATGTAAGCAACATTATTCACAATACCCAAAAAAGTGAAAACAATGAAAATGTTGTCCATCAACTGGTGAATGGATAAGCAAAATATAGTATATCAATATAATGGAATATTATTCAATAATAAAAAGAGATGAAGTACTGAGACTTGCTACAACATGATAAACCTCAAAAGTATACAGCTAACTGCCAGCCCACATACTACTGTATGATTCCATTTACAGGGATACCTTGGAGTTACTGGGGATTTGGTTCCAGACCACTGCAATAAAGTAAATACCACAAAAAACTGAGTCACAAGAATTTTTGGTTTTCCAGTACATATAAAAAATTATAGTTACACTATACTGTAGTCTGTAAGTGTGCCACATTATTATGCCTAAAAAAAAAGAATGTACATACCTTACTTTAAAAATACTTTATTGCTAAAAAATGCTAACCATCATCTCAGTCTTCTGTGAGTTGTGATCTTTTTTCAATAGTACCATCAAAGATTACTGATCACGATAATAAATACAATGGTGAAAGAGTTTAAAATATTGTGAGGATTACCAAAATGTGACACAGAGACACAAACTGAGCAAAGGCTGTTAAAAATAAGGCAAGAACAGACTTGCTCAATGCAGGGTTGCCACAAATCTTCAGTTTGTAAAAAACGCAGTATCTGTGAAGCATAATAAAGTGAAGTGTAATAAAACAAGGTATGCCTCTATATGAAATGTGTGGGAAAGGCAAATTTATAATATATTTACAGCAAGTAGATTAGTGGTTGCTTGGGGGCATACGATGGGGTATGACTGTGAATGGACATGAGACTTCTCTTTAGAGTGATAGAAATGTTTTTCTAAAATTAATTATTGTGATGATTGTTCAACTCTAAATTTTCTAAAATTCACTGAACTGTACACTTAAATGAATTTTACAGCATAAAATTATACATCAATAACCTATTAAAAACTGCAGACACACTAATCTGTTAAAAACTGTATACACACACACGTGTGTGTATGGGGCACATTCACAGGAAAGTCAAGAACCTATAAAAAAAAAAAGTTAATATTTGATAATGTGGAAGTTTAGGTATTCTTCTTCAATAACAATCATTTTTATTTAATTATTAAATTTTTTATATAAGTCCCGAAGTACATTAAAAAACCAAAATATTCAAATAAAATGTTCTCTCAAGCTCATTCACAAAAATATTAGTACAAATAAGTTTCTTTTTTTTCCTTAGTTGAAATATAGTTGATTTGCATATTGTGTTAGTTTCAGGAGTACAGCAAAGTAATTCAGCTGTAAATATATATGTATTTTTCAGATTATTTTTATTATAGGTTATTATAAGATACTGAATATAGTTTCCTGTGACATAGAGTAAATCCTTGTTGCTTATCCATTTGTGTAGTAGCTTGTATCTGTTAATCCCATACTCCTATTTCATCCCTCTTCCCCCCATTCCCTTTGGTAACTGAAAGTTTGTTTTCTACGTCTGAGTCTTATCTCTCTTTTGAATACAGATTCATTTGTCCCAGAGTTTCTGATTCAGGATTAACCATGCTCCCTACCTTGTCACTTAGAGGTGGTCGATTCATAGGACTAACTCCTTTTCGAATTCCAGTTGCTTTCCTAGCTGCAAGGCCAGTGATAACTCCATAAGGACGTCTCTTCCCAGGCATCACTCTTCCTCTACGGCTCAGACTATTCTTACCAAAACCTGTAGAAGAGGAAAAAACAATCTAAGAATCAACTGAGTGGCCCACAGGTCACAGGATATTGTATTTCTTAAGTAGGGTGGAGGACATGAGAGTTTTTCATTTATTATTATATAATACTTCTTGTATTATTACTATATTTTATAAGCTGCACTGAAAAGGGTTCTGCTACTGGTAATGGACTGCAAAGGACTAGAGGATCCTCACATTTCCTCCTAGCTATCTTCTCTTCAGAATTACTCTCAACAAAGAGAACAGTCTCAACTTTCCCTGTGCAGCTGCTAACCACATATGCTTCTTGAGTACTTGAAATATGACTAATCTGAATTTAGATGTAACAGAAGAATATATAATATTTCATTAATAATTTCATATTAATCATACATTATAAAGATATCTCAGATGTACTGGGTTAAATAAAATACATTATTAATAGGTGCCTCACACTTTATTTGTTTGGTGGCACTGATTTAGAGTGGAATCACTATCTCCTATTTACTTACTATGCTGCAATCTGGGTTCTTTGTTCTCAGTCTTACTGTATTCCAACTGCTTTTGCTAAAGTCTGCAGTAAACTCCAATGAATATTTTAATCTCTGCGGCACATGACACTACTGACTTCACTCTTCCATTATATATCTTACCTATTTAAACACTCATTTTCTAATTATGAAGAAGTAAACATGTTCAACTGCAGAAATCTTAAAAACATATAAAGTATAAATAAGAATATAAAAGTCACCACCATTATTAGACCACCACTTAAAGATAACAACTATTAACATTTTACATGTTTCTAGTATTTTACTTATACACATATATTTCAAGTTAACACTTTAAGATTCAACTGTTTTTAAGCAATTCAAAAGACTGTATCGCATGAGGTAATTTACAATTTTGTAGTATCGTGGGCCCAGAAAGCAGACCAAGTCAATCTTCCAGCAAGCATATTTCACACTCAAAATACTACTTTGTAGTCTATGTTTACACTGTATTGTGAATATTGTGAACTACACCAGGTAACAACTGTGATATTGGCCATCCTTAATTCTAATGCCTTTAATATTCACACTAATCATTTCAGTTACTTCTAGCATTACTCTACCATAAATAACATTACAATAACACTATAGATAACACATTTTTATACTCATCCATGATCATTTCTTCAGTATATAAATTTCCAAAGGCCAAAATGCTGTATCAAAGAGTAAAGCAAATTCTTAAGGATTTTGATTCTTTTGGCAAAAAATCTCCTCCAGAGTGACTATATTTATGTATATTTCTAGGAACATAAGGTTGCCCATTTTCCCACATCACTGACTACTTTGACTATTATTCTTTTTAATCTTTATCACTTTATGTTTGAAAAAAAAATCACATTTGGTAGTTTACTAGCAATAATGAACACTTGCCACGTGCTTTTTTGTTTGTTTTTTTTTTTTTTACTATCTTTCATTCCCAAACAGCCATGTTCATAAATCAGTCTTTCAGGATCAAGTTCTAATTTCCTTTGATTTTTTTTTTCCCTTTGATGTTTTGATAGAAGAATTACTTTAAATTTATAATTAATTTTTCAAGGATTGATATCTTTACAGTATCCAGGAATGTGCTGTCTTTCCACTCATTCAAGTCTTCTTTGGTCACTAAATTGGCATGGTAAAGTTTCAAGCTTTTCCCCCCATAGGTCCTGTACAGTTCTCATTAAATTTATTACAGGTATTTCATATATATTATTAATCTCAAAAGATCCCTTTCTATTAATAATTTTCATACTGTCATTCCTGGGATTACAGAAAGCTACTGAGGTTTCAATGAATAGCTTCTAATCAGCTATCTCACTGAATTCACTTATTAGTTCTAACAGTTTTTCAAATTATTTTCTTGGGATTTCTGAGTGACAATCATATTACTCACAAATAATACCATCTTCTTCCTTCCAATAATTACACCTCAAATTCTTTTACTTCTTAATGCAATGGCCAGAAATTCCAAAGGACTATTCTAAGTAACAACTGTGACATTGGCTATTCTTAATTCTAATTTGGGGGGAATGTCTTTAGAATGGAATCCTGTATAATACTATACACCTTCAATGTGATAACAGGTCTAACAACTTGCTTCACAGTCAAATTAAATAAACTTAAAATAGTTTACTGTAGGATTTCTTTGTGTGATGAATCTCTTAAGTAATAATCATGTATATGTCATTCTCAAATATCTAATTCCATAATGCTTTTTGCAGTGTACCAATTTTGAGACCAGAATTCAACAAGGCAGTTAGAAAAACCTGTTATGATGGTTGAACCATTTAGAATTCATTGCCTTTACTGCCCCACTTCTGTTTATGGAACATATCTCTTACCGGTTGGCTTAATATGAAGCTTTGTCAGCAGAGGGTGCTGCAGGGACTCTAGAAGCTTTTCTTTCAACTTCTAGTGTGTGCAACTCAAGGTTTGTTTCTGTGGCATAGGACAGTCAGTGGCTCTCATTATCCCTTCCCCCCAAGCTAAGACTAAGGTGAGGCAAGAGAGGGGCCTAAGGCACAAAATTTGAGAATGAATGACACCTTAAATTTTAGGCTCTAGGTATCTATCTAGATCTAGTCCTAGGTTATCACTTTTAACTTTGACCCTGCTCATCATCCTTCAGTAAAAACCCCCTCATCCCTACAGATCACTTCCCAGTGAATTCTATCTGCATGGCAACTCAGTATGGTGGGGAATTAATGTAGATTTGTTCCTTTTCTGGGTGCTCTGCCTTAGGACTAAAAGTAATGATCTTATTACTTTTATAATCAGCAAAAAAAGCAATAGAGATACAACTTTTAAAAATATTAGGATCAAATTGTTGCTACTCTATGTGTGACTTCCTTCTAGAATTGCAACCAAATGAAGATCAAGCATGTTGGGGAAGCCTCTAGTTCAAATTAAATCTGTAACAACTTGCTATTTTTATTTGTATTAAATAATGAAGCATCTACTACTGTGCTAGGCACTGTTCTGAGAACTTGATGAAGCTGATGCTAACATCTCAATTTTGCAAGTGAAATAAGGCAAAAAATAGTGACTACCCAGACGTCATAGTTAGAAAATGGCAGAGCCATGATCTAAGTGCAAGTTTCTGTGGCTCAAAAAATTGAGCACTTTTCCAAACAATTAAAGAATAAAAGGCAGAATATAATCTGGTACATTTCCAAAGAGAAAAAAAAAAAAAACCCAGCTATAACAGAAAAGGCAGGCTCTGAGCTAGCTACAAAACACAAATGATGTGAATAAGGAATAAGGCAAACAGTGACAAGTACAATACAAAGACAGGCAAGTACAGTGTACTGAGAGACAGTCTAGAGAAAAGGATAAGAAGTGAATGGATGTGGTAGGCACAAATAAGAGGGCTCTAAGTGGGGATAAAGACTATACTTGAACGGGAATTGAAGGGGTCATGGAATTCATGATTAGATTATATCAGTCTTGAAGCAGTATCTTATACTGAATGGAAGAAAGACAGAAGGCAGTGAAACCATTCTGGATGCCATTGCAACTCTAAAACATAACATGATAAGGGACTGGGAGAGGAACAAAGAAATCTGAATGTATTCCAAAAGAAAGAGTGAATCAGTAGAACAAACAAAGTTTAAAGAGAGCAGGAATCCATTATTATACCAAAGTTTGAGGCTTAGATGAGAAAGACTCATGAAAAAAATCTCATTAACAAGAATAAAAAGAGGTGGAGAGAGAAGGATTGGGAATTTGGGATTAGCAGATACAAACTAGTGCATATAGGATAGATAAACAACAAGGTACACTATTATATAGCACAGAGAACTATATTCAATATCCTGGGATAAACCATAATAGAAAAGAATATGAAAAATAATATATATATATATCACTGAGTCACTGTGCTGTACAGAAGAAATTAACACAATATTGTAAACCAACTATACTTCAATAAAATTTAAAAAACCACACAAATAAAATTAGATTCTATTCCGAGGAGCTTTCTGACTATTACAGTCACTGTTCCCATTCTCATCACCTTTCTACAATCTCTTATTTCTTTTTCAACGGCTTCTCCTTTACCTTCTAACAAGCCTAGATCATCCCTTTCTTCTTCCTTTTCTACCTTTGAGCAAACTTCACTAGCAAACTTCTCAGTTTTAGCAACAGTTCTATTTCTCACCCTTTAATTGTCAAGTTTCATGCAATAGTCTTTTCTCAGTTTTCATTCATTTAGCCCCTTTAGAAAGTTCTCTTGTCTTTCCAGAGTACCTTCATTCTCATTACTTCAACTATTACCTCTATGAAGAGCCTTCCACATTTTAAGCTTCACCAGAGCAGCAGTTGAACACTAGTCATGTGTTAGAAGGACATATGGAACTTTAAAAATACCCAGATCCTACTTCTGCAGATTCTGGTTCAGTAGCAATGGACTGCAACCAGATATCAGTCTAATTTATAAAGCTCCATAGGTTCAACTAATGTTGAGAACTAAAACTAGACACAGGAATTTACATCTTTCTTTTGAATCTACAGCCCAATTCCTTCATGAATTTCTTTCACAGACATATCCAGTTGCCTAAATTAATTTCTGCAGTCAGATCACTTACAAGAAGATTTGAGGGATTTTCTAGAAAATATCATTATCACAAAGTGTATGCAATTGTATTACTGGCTCATTTTCAAATCAGCACACAAACTTTTCCCTGTCTCTTCTACATCTAAAAGAGACAGCATTCTCAACCTTTTTGGTCTCAGGACCTCTTCATCCTCTTAAAAAATTACTGAGGACCCCAAACAGCTTTTCTTTCATGAGTTTATGTTTACTGAAATTTAGCATACTATAAGGGTGGTATGCTGGTGGCTCAGTGGTAAAGAATCTGCCTGCCAATGCAGGAGATGAGGGCTCAATCCCTGGGTCTGGAAGATCCCCTGGAAAAGGAAATGGCAAACCGCTCTAGTATTCTGGCTTGGGAAATCCCATGGACAAAGGAGATTGGTGGGCTACAGTCCATGGAGTTACCAAACTCCATGGACATGACTTAGGGACTAAAAATAACAACAACAAGCCATACTACAAATGAAAACTAGAACATTTAATAATGATGCTATTTTAAAGCTCACTAAATGTAGGGCAAAAAACATTTTTTAATGAAAAACAATTATTATTTTCCTAAACAAAAAAATTTAATAAGAAGAAAGGCACTGATTTGCATTTTTGCAAATCTTTTTAGTGTGTGGCTTAATAGGAAATTTTCTGTTTCTGTATCCAATCTGTTTGATCACAAGCTGTGTAGATTTTGGAAAAGTCCACTGTACATTCATGAGAGAATAAGACTGAAAACACAATTAATGTCTTACTATTATTATAGAAAACTTTGACTGTTTACACCCCTTGAGTCCTGGGGATTCCCTAAGATCTCTGGACAATACATTGATAATCGCTGTTGTATAGTATTCCATCCCTGAAGAACATTTAGGTTGTTTGTACAAATATGCATTGAGTGACTAAATTACATTTCAGGAATAGAATTGGGAAAACTTTATTCTCTTACGTGTTCAGTCATCAAAAATAAATGATTATTTGCTAAGGGCTCTCTGCTTATTCTGTTACCTCAAGGTAACATTCTCACTGACATTACAATGTGGAAATCTGAAATTATCCAAACCAATCAGAGCTTAAGAAAATCCCGTATCTCTCTGAACATTCAGTGACAGGAGCAGCTGCTCTATTTTAGGCCCTGTCACATGGAAGTGGAGAACATACAAGCACAAATTCAATCTTAAAAGATCCTAAGGCACTTGCAGATCTTTGGCTCAACGCTCAGATCATAATCTCTGTAAAAGGAAAGCTTTTCTGATCCTTTATGAACGAGATCCTATTTCACCTTATTGATTAAATCACCACTGATTATCTTAGCACAAAATGCCTATCTAAAATCCTATACTACAATCAGAACTTCTCTTATATTTCTCAACTCAAATGTTTTTCACCTTATCTCTGTCACCAGAAGTTCCTTGAAATAAGACTGCATCTTTACAAACCCCAACAAGCTAGTCAGTTCAGAGCATTTATCAGGTATTTAACAAACAATTAGCATAAACAAATATATTTCTGGCTTCTATGAACTCAAAAATTATTGTAATATAAATCATATTTAAATATGGAATGTTGAGTAACATAAGAAACCCCTAAACATAAATCACTGGAATTAAATATTAATTTTCTATAGCTAAATACCTGTCACAAGATTTATTCTCTTGAGTCCAGCTTACCTAATAAAATTATTAGGAAAGAATAAATTTTTCTATACAGTCTAATTTTAGTTATAGGTATATGTTGAGGATATGTTGTCTTATCAGCTGTTAAATGTAGGATTAATTATGTTCAATTTATTGGCGATTACTTGTTATGTTTTTTAACATATATAGGACAAAAATCAACTTAAGAATTAGTTTATCAAACATTTTTTCACATGTGTAAAAAAGATCTTGAGTTTTAAAAATCTGAACAAATGTTTATTCTAAAATGCTGATGCAACTGCTAAAAAAGTTAATGAGTCACATTTAATTAATAGTATTCCCTTACTGCCTTAAATTCATTTTGGAACAAGATGTTATAAATAAATAAGCTTCTAGATTACTAAAAATAACTGTATATGTAGAGTTCCAAGATAATAGACTACATCTAAAGCATTCAATTCCTCGTTACCTTTGGAGATTTTAACAAATCCTAAAGATGCTGGATAAGATAAGTAACCTAGAAATAATTTTCTATGCAAAATAGCAATCTCCATGTATTTAAAAGGTTTTCATATAAGAAAGGTAATTTGTTTCCTATAACTCTATAGAATTAACAGGAAGGCATGATTTAATTCAAATTAAGAGAGTTTTCTAATAAACAGTGTCTCCAATAATGGAATAAGTTATCTTGTGAGGTGGTATGTTCTCCCATTGAATGTATTTAAGCTAGAGTAACACAGTCATCCATCAGACAGACTAACATCTAACTGTGAAGGAGACTGAGACTTTATGATATGTAAGATCCTTTACAAATCTATATCCCCCAAAATAATAAAGACTTTATATACTGAGTTTACTTTAAAATGACTTAATGTTTTTAAGACACACCAGTTAATCACCTATTTAAGGAAACTTGAATTGCTACCAGATTGTAAGATTAAACAAATCCTGAGAGAAGGAAAAACAAAAATCACTGATATATTTCCTCCATGTTTTAAGTATGTATCAAAGATAGCATACTACAAACCCATAAATAATTGGCACTTTATTAAAGCTTACTTGCAAGACTTACCAGAATTCTGTTGAATACCCCATCTTACTCTCATCCTGAACTGCCTGGCACCACTTTGCTGAAGTCTTCTATTTAACCTCGGGAAATTCTGCTTCTTTCCTTCCTTTCGATTCAACTTGATGATATCATCTGTGATAGACAAAATGTGATGATTATCTTCATTTTAACTTAATGACTCAATTACTCAGCCTCATTTTCTAGTTGACAGATTTCCTATGTCCCTAACTTCTTTTCAACTTTGGAAGCACTTCCTTAAAAGGATAATAATGCTAAGAACATAAAAGCTCAAATCAGACAATATATTTGGAGCAGTGAAGAAAGGTTTCATAGGAAAAGTTGAAGTCAACAGATGAAAACAGAGCTAGTAATTAATGAAATTTTCTATTATTCATAGTATTTTCCTAATAAATGTAAATAAGCAGAACCTGTTTACAAAAATTATCCATATTTATCTTCTATAAACAAAGAAGTCCCCAGTTTTAAAGATGACCACCTTTCAATAAAACCATTGGCAATCAAATAATAAATCATTCATAAACTAAATTTCTAAGTTTATCTCAAATTAGCAAATCTTTACTGTGTATATATTATGGTGCAATGAATATATGTGGCAGGCTGTTCCATAATAGAAACAAACAAAAGTAAAATATGACTACTCTCAATAAATTTAAAATTAGTGAAGGAAACAGACATGTAAATAATGAACACAAAAGACACATAAGTAAACAAGTACCATAATAAAGGTACAGTACAAAAAGAAAACACTACTGGTTCTCTGCTTGTTTAGCAAAGCAATTCAGGGTTACCTTATTTTTCTTTTTACACAGTTCTCTCTCTTTTTTTTTTTTGGTCATGCCAAGGGGCACATGGGATTGTGGGATCTAATTCCTGGACCAGGGATGGAAACCGTGCCCCAAGTGGAAGCTTGGAGTCCTAAGCACTGAACCTCTAGAGAATTCCCTCTGCACTGTTCTAAGTCTCATTATCTACAAAAACACTTTCAAACTGTCCCAAGGTAATTCACAAACAACACACTGCTCTAATATCACAAAAGAACAATGTGACAATAAGGAAACTAAATGTACTCCAGATCCTATTTATATATGTTAAAAGGAGATTACTAGCAGACAAAAAATACACATTTAAGAAAATTCATGCAATTTCTCTAAAGTTCCAACTCCAATTCTGAATTGAAACTACAGCAAATAAACCAAAAAAATGAACACTGTCAACACGTCTAAATAAAATTACCAAAACTAACAAACCTGTTATTTTTTTCCAAACTGCTCTAAATACAAATAATTTAACAATTGTATCAATATAACCACAGTCTTTTCTAAAGTCAAAGAAGGATATATAGGGATCTTTTCGTATAGAGCACTACTCTATCTCACCCATCTTTCACATTTAAGACTTTAAATTACATTCAAACAAATAGTCATATAAAATAATTCAAATCTCAAGAAGAGATAAATCTTTCAGCTACAAAAAAATTCATCAAAGTTAAAGGCACTCAAAAAGCTTTTATAAAATACAAAGATTTCAGAGGCATGAACATGTTAAATTCTCAGTAAGCAGAAAGAAAATATAGTTAGAAAGCCACTACTTTCGAAGCACTACTTTCCTTTAACAAGGTGCTACTTATTCTTCACCAAAAGTCTGAAATCTCAGTCATGAGAGTATTCCCCCTCCAAAATTAATGTGGTCTGGGAACCACAAAACAAGAAAAGGCAGAGTATAATTCTGACTAACCAGGTTGATTTAAAAATAGGGCATTATAGAGTATAAACTAAAAATTAAAAGTAGCAAAGCATATCAAATATAAAATTATGTTTTATATTTAAGCATTTTATTATCTAAATCCTCAAATTAGATGGAGCTACTATGACACAGAAGATTCCACCAATCTAAAGAAGAAAACGGCTTTATCCTAATCAAGCAGAGACAATAACTGAGTACTAATAAGATGGTTCTTAAAGCATGTATTCATTCAATTCTCACAATAATTCCATGAAGTAACTACTTTAATCCCCATTTTCAAATTAAGAAACTGAGTCACAATGAGGCCAGCTATTGATAACCTTGGTAGATAATTCTATGTGAACAGTCACATAAACCTGACAGAGCTACAGTTAGAAACAAAACAAAAAATTAAATTCTAAAACCTATGAAAGCCTGATAAAATGGGATATTCATTTTATCAGGGATAAAGTGGGATAGTCACAAAACATAATAATTACTTAAAATACCTGTCTCTTCATCACCTCTCTGTGAAATTCACTTAAAAAAAAAAGGCATCTGACAGAATGCTACATGTTCTTAAGGGAGAAAAGAGACCAAGTTCTAGTTTAGCTATCTATTGCATTTCATCTCTACAGTCAAAGAGAATTATCCCTCAGTTTTCTTCACTTGAACACCCTAATTACCAAACAAAATGCATACAAAAAACTTAGAAACTTAAGAAATATATTGGTTATGAAAACACACTTTTAACACTTTCTACATCTACAGCATGGTGCTCTGAAATACTGATTCCATCCTTAACCTGCTGTACAACTTGGGCAAGTTACTTAATCTCTCTAGGTTTCGTAAAACAGAAATAACAACAGTAGCTTATATAGTGTGTGTATGTTTGTAAATACTGTGCTTACAGTGTACCAGGTACTGTTCTGAGCAGTTTATCCATGCCTATTGACCCATTTAACACTTACAGCAACCCTCTGAGGTAGGGCCTCACCTTTTACAGATGAGGCACTAAGAAACAATTTGCCCAAGATCAAATGGCTAATAAGTGGCAGAGACAGGATTTGAACTGAGACAGTTTGGGATTCCAGATTCCATGCTTTTCATCAGTTATATACCTTATAGGGTTACCACTGGGATAATTTAACACATGTAAAAACGCTTAGTCCAGTGCCTGGCAGGTAGTAGGCACTCTAAATATTTACTATACTTTTTCTCGGCCTTAGTTCAAAAGATTTCTCATGTCTTTAGAGGTCACTGCTGACTAGCACTAAGGCAAGACTATGATTTTCTGATGATCTGCTTAATTCTTATCTTGGGTTTTAACTTATGGCAACAACAGACAGCAAGAGTTCTTGATGACTAAAAATCTTGCAAAAAAAAAAGAAACAACAAAAAAGAAAAATACCCTCCTTGGAAAAGTTACACTTCTGTATGCCCTGTGCTGTGCTTATTAGTCAGTTGCTCAGTCGTGTCCAACTCTTTGAAACCCCATGGACAGTATCCCGCCAAGCTCCTCTGTCCATGAGGATTCTCCAGGCAAGAATACTGGAGTGGGTTGCCATGCCCTCCTTCAGGGGAATCTTTCCAACCCAGGAATCGAAAACCCAGAAAGCCCAAAGATACTGAAGTGGGTAGCCTATCCCTTATCCAGGGGATCTTCCTGACCCAGGAATCGAACCGGGGTCTCCTGCATTGCAGGTGGATTTTTTACCAGCTGAGGTACCAGGGAAGCCCCTCTGTATGTCCCAGAACTTTTCAAATATCCGAAAAATTGTAGGCCTCAGGCAGAGCTAACCATATCTAATGTCATAACCTAAATCCCGATAAAAACAGCATTACTTTTAAACCGATCAAGCCAAACAGACTAGTGCCTCTGTGGTGTTAGGTCTGAATTTTTAACAGAATCGCCCATCTTCCTGCTTTTTACCTACTTTGTCACCAAGCCACTCCAACTCTTCTAGGTCCTATCCTTTACTTGTCCCATCAACCCACATAAACCATCCTTGCTTTTCGCTTCGTTTTGTTCTAATTTGCTAACTTGAACGACTAGATGAGGAGAAAGTGCTTTTCTGGGCACCGCCTAATACATCACCATCCCATGAAGTCCTTTCTAAGGATCTTTTCTGTCAAGCGCCTCGCGGTGGCCTTGCCATCTGCCGCCCGTCAGAAATGGCCAACTCTAGGGGCTTCTTGACGCTTCTGTGCGACGCCAGGCACAGGCCCAAGCGCGCAAAACGCCCAACTAGCCCTTCTCTGGAACGACGGATTTAACCGAACCAGCCCGGCTCTCGAAGAGCCTTCCTCAGAAAGGCTGGCTCCGTCCGATCCGTGCCCACCTCGATAACGCCCACACCGAACACGCCTGAGGTGAAACGCGCGGAGTTTTCCTCACAAAGAGCCGGGGTCACCCGCGAGTGTTAGCGCCCTTCTGAAGGGAAAGAGGGTCCGCACTCCTAGATCCCCCCAAAGTCCCAACCCAAAGCGCCCTCCGCCCCCTCAGACACAGTCCGGCTGAGGGGATCCCCGAAGCCCTCCGACTTGACCCTGACACCTGCGAGCTCTCCCCCGCCCCCACGTCCCAACCAGCCCTCGCTTGGTTCCGCCCACCCGCAAGAAAACTCCAGCGACAACTGCACCCAACCGCCCCTTCCCCCACAAACCACGGTATTTGGTTCCACCCACACCTCCTCCCACTCCAGTTCGGTCCGACTCGGCTCCTCACCTAAAGACATATCAATTTTGTCCAGGTTTTCATTGCTGCGGGCTTTCGGCGGCGCAGGCGGCGGGGTTGCGGTGGCTCCCATTAACCGGGTACTAAACCGGTTCATGGCTGGAGACGTCGAGAACAGTCAGACGAGAAGGCCAGAGGCTGAGGCCTGCCACCTCCCACTCACGCACGCAGACTATCCGCACCGCGAGAGCGCGCACGCGTGCTGACGGAGTCCGCGCCCCACCACGCGCGTCTGACGGCGGGGGAGGTGGGGACCATAGAGACGAGCGGCCTGCGAGAGTGGCCCCACCCCCCTTGCAGGGACTGGGTCCTAGCGCCCCTTGCTGGACAGGAGAAAACATTGCGCCCGCCGCCGTTTTAGCTGTTCGCCTTTCTGCCGGAATTATCCTGGACCGTGAACACCTCAGAATCACATGCCTTAAATGAGATCATGTTCTTCCGTGCCCTTCGAGTCCCCTCTGCTACAGAAAGGCCCCGTAAGCTTTGGTACACATGAACCTTTCACAGCCCCACTGCAATGCAGCCGCAGAAGTAGGGCCGACCCTGCGAGCGTGAATGGCAGAACTGCGCCTCAGCTCCCCTCTCCCTGGTCATCTCCACCTGCAGCATGCGGAATCGCCACGTCTGGACGCAAAGCAAAACCTGCACTGATAATCCTTGCGTCACGATACTAATAAAAGTAAATGCTAACGTTCCCCGTCTCTGTACCACTTCTCAGCCGGCACACTCAAAACATTTTGCACGGTACTAGCTACCTTAAAACCTCACCTTCCCTTGGGAGAGGGGTAAGTACCTCTGCTTATTTGGCTGCATTTTTCTCTAATTCACTTGCGCTGGGAATTGATAGGGGGATTCGATTTCTTTCTAATCATCCCTATGGGAAAACTTATTAATATTTGATGAACTTCTGCATAAGAACTTTTTTTCCCTATTTACAAAACGTGATATTCCCTCTCTTCTTACCTCCTTCTCCTCCAAAGTAACTGCGCTGCTTAAACTATCTAACACATTTGCATGTAAGAAAAAAAAAAAATCAGGGACAGGTATTCTGTTCATTTAGAAATCTCTGCCACCTTCCCCCTCTGCACTTCCTAAAATTTCTCTTTGCATAGAAACCAGCCAGTGATCTAAAGTGTCTCAAACCCACAATAGCCTGTACTTATTTTTTCCCCAAGACAAAAAATACAACCATAAGAGTAGAGTGAATCAGGTGAAGACACACCTGTGAAGGGATACAAGAAACTTAAATGGTGGAGGAAGGTTTGGACTCAAAAAGATCCAAGAACAATATTCAGCATGTCAAGGAGAATAACGTGTATGCTCCTAGCACAATGTGCTTGATTTTACTACTGTTCCACTCCGCAGCTACCACCTCTTTCCCAACTGCTAAGAACTAGGCAACTGGATTGTGGAGAAGTACAACAGAGACCTAGGTTTTATTGAATGTTTTCACTCACTTCAGTCATTCACCTTGTGAACTTGGGAGAGTGTCTGGGCTTCATAATCATCTTCAAAACAAGAAGTAGTTATACTTGATATTTGTTAATCTTTATTATCTCTAAGATTCCTTACAGTTCTAAAATATTCTAAACACAAGACATTTTTCTACATACTATCCTTCTCCCACTAGAAATAACTTATGCAATCACTACTTATTTGTAGGAGCAAACTACAGGGAGGAACATTGGATTAAGTTCTTAATTTTATGGAAGAAAATTAATGCATTTAGAGTATGGATATATTTTGTATTTCAGGCAATACAGGACAGATAATAAAAATCCCAAATGTGTAAAATTCTCCCCACACCAGTTTATAAAGATTCCCTTTTATCCCGATCTTCTCCTCCAAACTGAAGCCCCATACCAAATCTCTTTAGCTCTAAAGGGAACATGCTCTGGGGTTTCATGAAGCAATCCTAGCTGTTGTGTTTCTCCAAGGGCTGAGTGTTTCAGAGTCTCAGAGCAATCACCCTGATTCCAAAGGGAAAAACAAGGAAACGAGGCATTGTAGTTAAGGGTAGATAGGCCACACACAAAGCCATACAAAACAAAAGAGCAACCTGAGACACATAGCAACTGTGAAGAGGAAGAAAAGCCAAGAAATCAAAACCGGTGCATGTCCAAGAAGTTGACCAGCCAGTTACAGGGCTGGAGATAAAAGGTCAACCCTGCAATTTGCTGGGGCCCAAGAGGCAGATGTTCATTTAATCATATATTCATTGAGCGGTGGCATTATAATAGGCCCGGAGGGTAAAATGCTGAGCAAGATAGATGTTGTCCCTATCTTCATGTAGCTTGCAAAGAAAAAACATTTTCTGAGCATGTACTGTGAACATTTGCTGGGCATGTGCTTTGACACTGAGTGGACAGCATTTGTCTTCAGTAGAGCAGTTAAGTCTTCAGACCTAAGTCAAAATAAACAGAATTCAAGCAGCTGCCCCTTTTGGAGGCTTAATTTCATACAATGTACATAAGACAATGTCTAGGATGGCCAGACAAAATACAGAACCAGTTAAATCTGATTTTCAGGTAAACAATGAATAATTGTTTAGTAGAAGTTTTGCCCCAGGTTTCAGATAAAACAGCAATTTTTTTTTTTACCACAGAATATTGCAGTAATATTTAGGATATATTTATACTAAGCAATTATTTGTTGTTTATCTGAAATTAAAATTTAACTGGGAGTCTTATACTTTTATTGCTAATCTGGCAACCTTAACAACACCATACCTATTAACATGTGCTAGCTCTCTTTTCACAATGTGCATAGAGATCTATATTCTCTTCAAAGGTAAGCACAACTCATATATTTAACTCAGTTTTATTAGTTTGATATATATTTTAAGTCCCCTCCTTTTTTTAGCTTTATTGAGGTATAACTGACAGACAATAAAAGACATATTTAAAGTGTGCAGTTTGTAGACGTGTGAAATATATACCTGTGAAAATACCACCATAATCAGGATAATAAATTGATCTATCATCTCCCAAAGATTTCCTGTGTGCCTTTACAATCCCTCTCCCCAACCTCTACCTAAGCAACGACTGATATGTTTTCTGTCACTAAAGATTTGCATTTTTGGAATTTTATATAAGTGGAATCACACAGTATAAACTCTTTGTTATATCTGGATTGTTTACTCAGCATAACTGTTTCCAATCTGTATGCTTTTTATTATCTTTCTTGCATTATTACACTGACTGGGGACTCTAGTACCATGTTAAATAACAATGGAGAAAGTGGACATCTTTGACTCGTTCCCAACACCAAGGGGAAAGCATTCAGTCTTTCACCATTAAGTATGATGTTAGATTTTTTTGTTGTTGTTGATGCCTTTTATCAGGTTGAGGAAGTTCCCTTCTACTCCCGGTTTGCTGAGAGTTTTAGTTATGAGTGAATGGTGAATTTTATCTAGTGCTTTTTCTGCATCTGAGATGACCAAATGGTTTTTCTTTCTAAGTTTATTAATATGGTAAATTATATTGGCTGCTTTTCAAATGTTAAACCACCCTTGCGTTTCTAGGATAAACCTACATGGTCATGGTGTCTTATCCTTTTAAAAAAAAAATCTTTATTTTGGCTGCACTGAGTCTTCAGTGCTGGGAGTGTAGGCTACTCTTAGTGGCGGGGCACCGGCTCCTCATTGTGGCCGCTTCTCTTCTTGTGGAACACAGGCTCTAGGTGTGGGGCTCAATAGTTGTGGTGCTTGGGCTTAGTTGCTCTATGGCACGTGGGATCTCAGACCAGAGATTGAACCTATGTCCCCTGCCTTGGCAGGCAAATTCTTAACCACTGGACTACCAGGAAAATGAAAGTGAAGTCGCTCAGTTGTGTCCGAGTCTTTTTAAACCCATGGATTGTAGCCTACCACACTCCTCCATACATGGGATTTTCCAAACAAGAATACTGGAGTGGGTTGCCATTTCCTTCTCCAGAGGATCTTCCCGACCCAGGGATCGAATCCAGGTCTCCCGCATTGCAGGCAAACGCTTTATCATCTGAGTTACAACTTCATATCAGGGAAGTCCCTGTATTATCCTTTTTATATATTGTTAGGTTTAGTTTGCTAATATTTTGTCAAGGATATTGTTTCTTTTTTCATGAGTGATATTGATGTGTTTCCTTTTCTTGTAATGTCTTTGATTTTGGCATCAGCTCTTGCTTTTCAGAAGAGTACTTTTAGAATTCATGCTGCTGCTGCTGCTGCTAAGTTGTTTCAGTCGTGTCCGACTCTGTGCGACCCCATAGACGGCAGCCCACCAGGCTCCTCTGTCCCTGGGATTCTCCAGGCAAGAACACTGGAGTGGGTTGCCATTGCCTTCTCCAACGCATGTATGCATGCTAAGTTGCTTCAGTCGTGTCCGACTCTGTACGACCCTATGGACAGCAGCCCTCCAAGCTCCTCTGTCCACAAGATTCTCCAGGCAAGAATACTGGAGTGGCTTGCCATTTCCTTCTCTTTAGAATTCATATGTTGGTGTAATTTGTATTATACTGGAATAAGGGAACTATTAATAGATATAGCTTGTATTCTATGTAGATATAGTATGTATTAAGTACGTATTAGTTAGGTATGACTATTACTATTATACCTAACTCCTTGGGGCTTCTCAGGTGTTGCTAGTGGTAAAGAACCTTGCCAGTGCAGGAGACACAAGAGACATGGATTCGATCCCTGGGTAGGGAAGATTCCCTGGAGGAGGGCATGGCAACCACTCCAGTATTTTGCCTAGAGAATCCCATGGACAGAGGAGCCTGACAGGTTACAGTCCACAGGGTCACAAAGAGTCAGACATGATGAAGCAACTTAGCATGCACACAACTCCCTTAAGCTCTTGTATGCACGGTATGGTTTTCCTTCTCTTTCCTGCTCAGTTCTTTACATTACCCCCCTGTGCCAGTTTTCTGCTGCAGTCCCTTTTCTTTGCCACCTTGCCACAGCTTCCTTTTCTCTTTTGTATTGCCCTTTTCTTTTGTTCTAAGTGTTTCTAGCTGTTCTAGTCTTCTGCCTTTTAATCTCAGGATTTATTCATTCATTTATTCAGAATTTGAGTCCCTACTCTGGGCAACACACTCTGCCACACAGTACAGTGTTAC